TTGTTATTATTATTATACTATTTTTGTAGATTTGTAAATAGTTTTTCTTTTTGTAAAAAGGAACCCTTCTATTTTCATTTACAATCTTTAGATTAAAAGATTGATTAAATTAATATATATTTTTAAATAAATTAAATTAAATCAAATCATACATTTGTATTAAATCAAAACTGAAAATCTAGAAAAATTAAACAGAATATCTAGAAAAATTAAACAGAATTTAAGATTTCATATGGCACTATTGTAATTTTTTTAAAAATAAATGATTACATTATTTAATTCAAATGATTATACATGCATTTTAAGGATGAAAAAAGAAAGCCTTTGAAACAAAATTGAAATAGAAAAAAAAAAACTTCACAGGACCCTACTAGCTTTCTTTTATTTTCAGAAACAAATAAAAATAATAGTTTGAAGTTCAACCAATATTAAACAGAATGGCTATGCTAATGGAAATGCAGAGTGAGTACATGCAGAGAGATCTGGACCTTCATAATTTCATTATGTGAAACTTTGTTGACAGATCAAGTTTAAAGATACCTTCAATGCAATCTTAAAAAAGTCAGCATATTAAATCTGTACCTTTCATGTGTTCATGATTGTACAATTGATGCTCATGTTTTTTTCAGTGTCTGCTGACTATATGAGTACATCCACATGAACTTCATCGAGATCTGCAAATAAATTCTTTAAAGGGTCTTCACTATAACATTCAAATAAAATCTCTTACCGTTTTCTGAACAAAGTCCATGATGTTTTTGAAATCAAGGTCATCATAGTAATTGACCATGCCTTTGCGGATGTTTTTGTTGAGAAGGTCCTCTGTCTGATTGACAAAGAAGGTCAGTGTTATAACAGGAAGATGTTGTTTTTGCAACAAAATGTAACAAGTCTGATTTCTTTTAGCATGGGATGTTGAGCCTTTGTTGTTGCAGTTAGAAATAAACTCAATAAAACTGTAATATCTGAGGACTGGTACAATTAGTTTCTTAAAAAATATGATTGAAATTATGTTCACAATGATGGTAATTACGCTCTGGCATCAAAATTATTTTGTTTATGATTGCTGAAGTGTCAAGCAGCCAAACAAATTTCCACATCCAGCAGACGCTAAAACACAACCTCAACTAATCACAAAACAGTCATTACCCAGCAACCATGTAACAGTACTCATAATTATCTTTTTCAAATGAGCATGGATCCCATTTGCCCAATGAAATGAATAACAAAGAAACTTCCAGCAGTTATTGTCACATTGCATGGCTAATGACTATAAAATACTGCAATACTGAATTCTGTATGTATACATTTCTTTTTGTGAGCCATGTCACAGTCTGCCACTTGGAAATGTACATCAAAAAAACAGTCTTATTATATAAAGGAAGGGATTTGTCAAGAACATTATAAATGAAACTAGAAAGAAGATAAAAATGGCTGTACCTGTCTCCTAAAGATCAAAGCAACAATCCCACTGACAAGCTCCAAAATGAGACAGAGAGCCAGCATGTAAAGAAACTGCAAAGCAACAGTAAACAGAGGATCTCAAATGAAACAGAGACACACGCACATTACTCAGATACAAATGAAACAACAGTTGCAAGCCTCAGATTCTGCCCTACATGGGCAGTGAGTCCGTCTATGCGTGCGTGTACAGCACCCAAGGCATATGGACTAGTGAATACAAATAGCTCATAACATGATTCAATTCCCATCAGCTTGTTTTATAGCTAGTGGGATTAGGCAGTTGTATTAACAGAGAAACTGGAAAATAAGAGTTCTTCATGAGACAAACTTCCACTTCTGCTGAAACAGGAAGCACTCTTAGTACTGTTTATCATTTTCAGCCCTGTTGATAATAACAGCACTTTAAGAATTTAATATGTTGATAGCCCTGCCTTCACCATGTGATCTTTAGGCAAATGAGAGTGGTAATTTTCATAATGGGTTTGACTGGTATCAAACGTCTGCAACGTTCATGTTAATTCTACATCAGACGATCTGATGTTTGACGCATTGTGAATGTGTAGTCAGAAAGTGTTATTCAAATGATTCCTTTATTCAAACTGATAAATGACTCATCCCTAATCACTCATAAACTAGTATAGTGTGGTTTGTTTTACTACTTTGTTAGTACAAGTGATTTAAGTAAGAATGTTTTCTGCTTTACTATTGACCCCCTTTTCTTTTTGTGGAACGCAATAGAAGTATTTTGAAAAACTACTTTGTTCATATAATGACAGTCAATGGGGAACATAACACTAGACTTTCAATGTATGGACAAAAACAAAATATATTTTGCACTCCCCTATAAATGAAAGTCATACATGTTTGGAACAACATGAAAGGGTGAATAAATAATGACAGGATTTTCATTTTTAGGTGAACTGTCTCTTTGTGCTAATGATATTATTTGTTTGTTTCCTACAAAAAGAATCATTAAAAAAAAATAGAATATGAAGTGTTGTGTACAGAAAATCAATATGATTTACATAATAAGCGATGTGCTGAAGAGGACACTACTATATGCAAGAGTCTGATGGAAAAATAAAAACTTACCACTTTGAGAAGGCACAAGTTGTCTCTGAGAGATGCCAGAACGCCGATGAAGGAGACGATGAACATGATCACACCGAGCACAATGAGGATAACGGCAGGAGCCAGGAATACTCCTTCCAGAGTTTTGTACTGTTGCCTCTCCACCTCCGCATAAATGCCAATGGCCAAAATAAAGCCCCCTATGAGCTGAAATAAATCACACAAATCAGACCATTTGGGTTTCATGCAAAATTACATTACATTACAAATGGGAAGAATATCACTATTTTAGCTATATTAATAACTTTAAAAAGGCACATGGGTTAAAAACAACACAAAAGAGTACATTTAGTCACATTCAGGGCCACAAAAATGGACATTACTGAATCTAGCAGTATATTCTTCAGTATGTTTTTCATATTTAAAGGTATTATGATTCAAAACAGAGCAAAGTAAAGCTATGTGAAACTGTGACCTCCTGGGTTAATGTATTCCAACCTTGAATCTTAATGGCTCCCCAAAGCGCCAAGTGTGATTTCCATTTGGAAATATTCTACATGATTATCATACTCTACTGATCGGAGCTGTGGTTGACAAATCGTAGAATTAAAGCATGTGGTGTGAAATCCAAACCATTTCTGTGTCACAATAAAAAGTAGCAGAAAGTAGATCTGGGAGAAGCATATTCAGACGAAGTTGTGCAAAACTGACATAGCAAATGCACTTCTGTAACCCTGAGAAACAAACACTGAGCTCCAGTGACATGGCTTAATGGCATAATCAAATAATAACCATCATAATGCTGCCCTGGTAATTGCAGTAAAACCACTCCACGCCTGTTAACTCATTGTGTGTGTGTGTGTGTGTGTGTGTGTGTGTGTGTGTGTGCATATGGGCTTTACAACACATTTGTTGTGCTAATGCATTCCTTTCTCATTCAACATCACACCAGCATGTAGTCTGTACGGATAAGTTGTAATCATTTTCCTCAAATGAATGGAGGCACCATCAGTATGTACCGATTGGATGTCTTATCAACAGCATTCAGATGAGAAAATAATTGGCAGTGCATAGATAAAACAAAGTAAATATTATAAACTCAAATAGTGTGTAAATCACAAATTTTTCTAAAATTATACTGTACTGTTCAACAATGACATCAACGGATCAAGTTTCAGGAGGAAGCAGCTAAAGTGTATGGTGAATGTGAGGGGGTGTAAACAGGTCAAACTGGTGGAAATGAATGGACTAATTACACAGTAAACAACTCACCCACTCGGACCACTTTTAGTCTTATCCAAATTAAAATGAAGTTGAAACATGAAATGATCTGTGGGTGATCCGGATTTAATGAAGGTCTATTCAGTTTGGTAAAATTAAAGGTCCACCTCTATGTCTACCATCATCATTAGGTTTCAGAGGGTTTGTTGACTAGTGGGCTAAAAAAGAAGGTGGGTATTCATATAATTAAACAACAGGTAGCAGTGTTTGAGATAAACAAATGTGTGTTACTATATTTTTTTATTAGAAAAGAAATATAAAACTATTAACATATATTAAAATGTTAATTCTCACTACCACACAGAGCCGTTGTTCACCGACAAGCTGCGCAAAACATGCGCAAAATATGATTGTGGTTTTGCACAGCTTGTCAGTGAACAACGGCTCTGTGTAGTTAATGCTGCTCCATGTGAAAGCCCGCACGTGATGGAGATTTACCGCTGATTAAAGAACCGGCTTTACTGACAAGATGCGCGTTAAATATCGCATGCGATTTATCGTGCAGCCCTACTACCTATACATTTTTAAAAATGTTTTTGAAGTCTTTTATGCACACTAATGCTGCATTAATTTGATCAAAAATAAAAACAGTAATATTGTGAAATATTATTATAATTTGAAATAACTTTTTTGTATTTTAATATATTTTTAAATGTAATTTATTCCTGTGATGGCAAAGCTGAATTTTTAGCAGCCATTACACCAGTCTTCAGTGTCACATGATCCTTCAGAAATCATTCTAATATGCTGATTTGCTGCTACTACTGACCCCAAACTTTTGAACAGTAGTGTAATTGTACGTTAATGAGAATTTGATGTGACTTGATTTTAATCATTTTATATACAAACATATAAAAGAATATGGTAGCATTGATTAACCCGGATGTGTAAACATAAATGAAACACAAATTTACAAAAAACAACAACAAAAACAACAACAACAAACGAAGAGAAGCAAAGACCCTCTCTGCATTTCAGAAGACCACCAATAATTATAATAGTTTAAAAAATTTTATATTTGTATATTTATTAGTTATAACGTAAATGGCAACACTAAATCCTTGAGGTATTGAAAGATTAAAAAACAGAAACAAGATATGGCTTTATATTTAGATCCCTCAATAAGGTTACAAAAGCCACCTGGGAAATTGGTTGGAAAGTGTCAACCAGAGTTATGACCTTTGGCAGACTATAAAGACTGAAGGCAAAAAGATTAATGGAGTCCGAGGCCACCACCACCTAATTTCAACAGAAAATCTCTCAGGCTGAAGCTGGCTCAATCTGGTTGCTCATAATTTATAATCCATTTATTTTCATGCATCTTTATGTCAAAACATATTGCTTAAACACTATATGAAAACAAAGAGCGTCTGGATAGTAATCTACAAAACCTCTAGCACATGCACCTGCAAATATATACAATTCAAAACTATTTCGTAAAAAACATCCAGAACTGCCATTAAGCCAATCTATGAAGTTAGCACAAGTCAAGCAATTTGTACGCAGTTGTTCACTTCAGAATGCCTTTTACCAATCAACATGAGTGCACATTAATCAACAGAGATGGTGAGCAGATGTACTCCCTTGCCTTCGTGAACAGAATAGCCATCCACACATAATAATTCACCCTTGCAGCCCTGCGTGAGGCACGTGCACCAGGTCTCTTGTGAAACCCATGATGAAAGCAGCACAAAGTGTGCACTGGGTCAGCCAGCACTGTAATACTGGTGCCAATGGGCCACCAAGAGCCTCGGCGGGTGGCATAATGGTCTGAAATGGGGTCCTATGGGGCCCATTGTTTATGCTGTCAGTGTGATGGGTTCAACATGTGCAGACCTGCTCTTGACAGAAAACAGGAAGAGAAGCACAATGGTGCAGCCCATAGCATTTCAAACCTCTGCTGTCACATAGAGTAGCTTTGACACCAGCCTTTTACTCACAATAATCTTTTTCAAATGTCAATAACAGATGAGAATAAAGATAACTACAGAATGTCATAGTCCCTATGCCATGACAGCACCTCAAACTTGAATAACACTTCTATGAAAAGCATTATTTGCATATAAAACAGTATAAAGAATACATTAATGGCACAATTGTGAAATGTATACAAAATATTATTATCAGAATTTATGCAAAGATGATGCAAAATAATTCAAACAATAGGAAACTCTATTGTCTAGTGAATAAAGAACATCAAATGTGGAGAATATAGAAACAAATTAGACAGAACATTAAAATGAACAATAAAACAAACATTGCATTGTAATTATAATCTGGATTTCTGTTTAATCAGATCTGAGTTTGAACTGTCAAAGGAATGTAAAACTGAAAATATCAAGGCTTATATAACCCCAAATGACTCTCTAGTTTATTTTTGGTAAGTCACAGGCTGACAACAGTAAATAAGAGTATTAGGTAACTTGAGAACTACAATATGGAAATACATGCTTGATAATGTTTTGAATTAAAAGCACTGGAATATTCACTAATGACTTAAAGTACAGTGCAATAGTAGCGAGAGAGAGAGAGAGAGAGTTGTGTGTCTATAATATGATATTTTCTTCAATACTATATTTACTCTATTACCTAAGGTACAAAACCTAATAGGTACATCTTTGTACCTTATTTACCCATAAATAGTACATATTAGTACCTTAAAGGTACATATTAGTAGTTTAAAAGTCAATATTAGCACCTAAAGTGTACATATTAGTAACATTCGAAAGGCCACTGCTTCGGTGACAGTTTGATATTATAATCTTAAAGTATAAAGCATACCCAGATGATTTATCCTACAATTCTATTTTAGGGTCAATCAAACTACACTCGCCTCATGAATTTAATGTAGGTTCAAAACAAGCTTGACCTTATAAATACAGGTCTTACAAATAGCAAACAAACTTCATAATGAAGACAAAAGAAGAAACATACTGTTCATGAAAATGGGAAAAGTTCTCATGTGGTAAATTCTTAACACATATTCAACAATCTTGAGCCAAGTAATAATGATTAGCCTATGTGCAAATGAAATATGAATGATGAGTCTAATGGTCTTTGACTCCATGCTAGATAATGGCCAGAGGTTTTTTTTTTTGTTTAAAGGCACAGCTTTGCACAGTATGACCACACAGTATTTTGGTCATCTGATTATCATGCAATCAATAACAGAAGCAAAACAACCACTAACCATTCAAATGAGTCTGTTTCAGTTTCTATCTGCTTCGTTTAAATGTAAATACTATTTATTTGTTGTTTTTTGTACAAATTAACACATATATTTACCAAGAAAGTTGTTGCTATTTACAGTGTTTTCATTAGCCTATACAATTGCCATTTTCGCTTAATATTTTCTACAGCAACATCAGATATTTATTAATAAATCAATGGATAAACATTTGCAACGTCATAAAAAACATTTGTGTTCAACATACTCTACTAAGGAGATCGATAATTCAATGAGTAAGAAACCCATAATCCCAGAGTACAGCAGAATTACTCGAGGAGGGTGTGGTCAAGAGCACTAGAACAGGTAATGCGTGACATAATAACATAATTAAAAATATATAAAACTCAAACGTTACTGCTAGCAGACTTGTAATATTATTTGCTTTCTCTCTGTTCTTTCCGACTTTTTAAACCGCACTTGTGTACATTTGCTTGACTTAGCCTCATAGACTTACCACACCGATTTATTATTACGTATAATAAAAACAAATCAAACTCACCCAGAAAATTGTTGCATATACGATTAACGAGAACTTGAGAAAGAGGTACGAGCACCTGTCGCAATATCGGACTTCATTTGACATGTTAAAAACGTATAAATAACACGAAATACGGTCGCGTAGTAGACACTTCCTGGTTTGTTTCTATCTTCTACCTGAGTGACCAGAGCACGCGCTCCATTATCGCACAAGCCTTGATTGATGGGTGGTTTGTCCAATGAGAAAGCGGGATTTCACATGGCTTGTATATTGTTTGTATTTCAGGAGTTTATAGACAGTTCATATTCTTAAAGGGCATTATTACTTTTTGATTTAACACTACAGTTAACACGAAAATGTTATATATTATTGTTATATATTCATGTAGGCCTATATTAATGATATTTAAATATATTGAATGTAATAAAACTCATAAAACATGAACATTTTCATTATAGATTTATGCATCTAAATAGATTTAGACACCACTGATTTAACCTCTTTTCTGACTGCTGACAGTGTCCTTTTTTTTTTTTTTT